CCTTTCCTATCAAAATGCTTGCTACGGATGCAAAAATGCAGAAAATCGAACCTGATCCGAATTTTTTTTATGACGGACGAAAGTTTCGGAGGCAGTGTGTAAATGTGATTGACACAACGTGAGGTCGTATTTATTTTTTAACGTGCGAAAATTTCGGATGAAAATTTCGGACTCAGTGCGCAAGGACCTTTAGGCTTAAAATGCAATTAGTTTGATCCATTAGCTGAATCATCATTTCAACCACGAAGACACTGCAGCCAAGTGCATTAACAGTGTTTATAACTTGAATGAACTGATTTATAGAAATTAATCAACCCCACTCTTTAGGAGCACTTTTACTATTTCAAATCATTTTTGCGCCATCTGCAGCACCAAACAAAATGCGAAAAACTCAGGCAAACAGCTTTCTGGCACAGTCTTTAGGAAACTTAATTGCCAAATAAAAATGACATTAAAATCACTGCAATCATGACGGCTTAATTTTGTATCAAAAATAATATTAGTATATATTCACTCTATCCTACTAGAGTCTCAATGAAAAAGTCTTCGGTCATAATCACAAGTCATCTTTACACATGTGTATTCATATCCCAGATAGCAGCACCATTTTCCTTCTTTCCATAAAACAGCACAACACTAATCCTTAAAGAAGATTACATTAGTGGAGAAAGCAAAGAACATGTGGCCGCAAACATCCTAAGCATGTTTCAATCTATTTTTGTAAACACATTTTTGCATATCATATATATATATATATATATATATATAAATATGTGGCAATGAACTTTCCTGTTCAAACTAATGTAGCTTGAATGTGATTTACAAAAGCTTTCCCAGAGGCAAGACTTTTATGACAAAAATTGTGTCCCTGACAATTACATTTAATACTATGCCATGACATAGTATTACATTTAATATATGACACTGTATTACATTTAATATAGTAAAAATAGTAAATATTTTTATAACTTGAAATAACTGTACTTTAGTCTTCAGAGTCATTTGATCCTTCAGATCCATCATTCTAATATGCTGATTTGCTGATTAAGAAACATTCCTTATTATCAATGATGAAAACAGTTGTGCTGCTTCATATTTTTGTGGAAACCGTGATACTATACTTTTTGAAATTGTACCTAGTTTTTAATGGCTGTGTATTGCGGTTTTCACACAACTTCATTAATTGCGAACTGCTCTGAAACTTTGAGCTTGTACTGTACAACATGCAACAGCACTGAATCTTGACTTTGAACATGCAGGACTCACATTTAACAAAATCATTGCTTTTTGAATTGTAATAATCAATTTAGGATGTATCACAAGACCTGTTTTTCCATCCCCAAATTTAGGACCTTTCAAAATGATAATTAAGATCATTAACACTTTTTACGACCTTAAATTTCATAACACTGAAACCATTCACAAAACCAAACCATGCACACACAATTTCAGCCACATGCATAGAATTAGTGCCCACTTGCATGACAATGACTTTGTGCTGATCCTGGTTACAAAGAACAAAGTTTTTTGTCAAGGCTCATGCAAGATTTTTGGACAGTGGAGACACAGCTTCAATAACTGTTATTATGATAGTCACCTTCACAGGCTCCAGGGTAGCCGAGAAAGCGTCCTGCAGGGCACAGCATGCTAACCGCCACATCTCCTCAGTGAAAACAGGCCCTGCTGTTACCAGAACATACCTGGACATCAAAAATAACAAATCAGAACTTAATATGTCCATTGCTACTATACTGGAGACATAAAACTAAACTAATCTTATTTTGCAGCATAACTTCAAGCATTTTTTTCAATGAACTATCTTGAAAATAACCTGTTAAGCACTTGAGATACATAATGATTGTCACTACTTAACCTGTATTTTTATTCAACTAAACCTCATGCAGTCAACTGCATTCATGCATCTGAATGTAACATCGTAAGTGACCGATTTAGAGCGCTCTACATCACAAAGACTACACTCCTCACATGGTGCACACGGTAGAGTGTGCTCTGAATTGATTTCAGGAGAGTTTGATGCTGTCTATGTAGGCAGTTCAATATGTTTAAACACACACACACACACACACACACCTAATACAGGAGCAGCCCACTCTGGAGATGGTCTCGGCTGGTTCTGCCACACAGGACACCAGCAGTTTGAAGAGATCTTTCAGCATCAGATTAATCAGACTCTCATAGCCAATATCTGCAAAATAAATGAAGTCATACAATTTATATTTCATATACATTACAATTTCACACTTCAAGGTCATCTCCAAGTTAAAACTCCTGAACATATCTGCATTAATTATCATGGCACATATTGTACACATCAGGTATTAGTGGGCTGAATCTCATGAAACCTGTCGATATGTGACCTGAAAAGATAAAAAGGAAGAAAGAAACTTTGTTTTGTACAATGTTATTTTAGTATTACTGATATACTATTACAGTTTTTGTAAAATTTTGTAATCAGATTTTATTTTTATATTTTCTGTTTTCACTTTAATTTTAGTTCAAGTTTTAGTTGTATTTTTCCCCCTTTTCTATTTTTTTTATGTCTATATAGTTTTTTTTAATTGTTATTAGTTTATTTACTTATTTTAGTACTTCAAGCTAAACTAAACAATAAAACAAAATAAACCTCCAAGTTTTTTTACAAATATATTTTATATCAATTAACATTTATTTTATTTTAAGCAACCAAATGGTTACTATCGTTTTAGTTTTCATTTTAGTTAAATGATAATAACCCTGGTTTAGCATGAACCGAATAAAGCCTTTTTTTTTTTTCATTTTCATGGCAATTAAAATGTTTTCCTGTAGCTTCCATTACTGTAATGTGAAAAAATACATCAAGTAAAATGTAAAGTATTTGTACATAGTAGCATTAGTTGCAATGTCTTTAATTACTGCTGTTTAAAAAAAAGTCACAATGCAACAAATATAGGCCAAATTTCAATATGCAAATGATCATTTCATGTTTGCTTCTTTTTTTTTTGTTTGATTTTGGGGTGATGATCCAGTCATGTTTTTCGTAAGATTCACGCATATTGTGACTGACTGACTGACTGCTTAGATCAGTAGTTAATGTGCATTGAAATATAAAGATATGTGACCCTGGACCACAAAACCAGTCATAAGGGTCAATTTTTCGAAATTGAGATTTATACATCATCTGAAAGCTGAATAAATAGCGTTCCATTGATGTATGGTTTGTTAGGATAGGACAATATTTGGCTGAGATACATAGCAATGCATATTACTAATCAAAAATTAAGTTTTGATATATTTACGGTAGGAAATTTACAAAATATCTTCATGGAACATGATCTTTACTTAATGTCCTAATGATTTTTAGCATAAAAGAAAAATCTATAATTTTGACCCATACAATGTATTTTTGGCTATTGCTACAAATATCCCCTAGCGACTTAAGACTGGTTTTGTGGTCCAGGGTCACATATATGAACTGAAATGATTAATTTGCTAGTTTTACCTGAATGGATGAAGCTGTGAATATGTTCCACCACCAGTTCACAGGACAGTCCGATGGCATGCTTGAAGTTCGCCGCAGCAATGTCCCAGTATGAGTGGTCACCATGGCTCCGTTGTAGCCATAGTGACATGACAGGAAGAAGAAGCTGGATGACAGAGAAAATGCCAAAGCCAGGCCCTATGGAGGAGGAAGACGCAACATAACAAGCCAGAGCTTTGTGGGTTTGCTTTAGTATCTACAGCAGTGTGATTGTGAGTAGTGTTAATCACAGGCGTCTGACCTGGTATCTTGGTGACTTCACGCAGAAGTTCAAACAGCAGCTCAAGTGTAGGTGGCTGATGCTGCCGAGGACAGTTTGACACGGCTGCGGTCAGCTGCTCCAACAGAAGAATCCACACCTGTATCAGACCTGCACACGCAAAACTGATCACCCCTGTGCACCAGTTATAGTTGTTTTTTCATCTCTAAACTTATTCTCCACCATGTACTTTAACAAATAAATCAATAAATCACCTGTGTCATCGTCAAACTCTGCTAAAACGCAGTCCATGCCATCCTCAGTGCTCACAGACCTCTCCTGAGCTCTCATCGGGAGGCTGGCCAGCCGCGCACCCAAGAACACGGGCTTGGACGGCATCTTATAGATTTTGGCAAGCAGCTGCAAATGCAAAATAATACATCATAAACACCAAACTTAATGTTACTCCTTTCATTTGGAAAATTTGTTTTTTGACCCAAACTCCCATTACGAAAACGTCTGAAAGTGTGTAAATCATTTATGGACAGAAATGCGTTGATCTTGCCCACCTGTGAACATTTCCTCAAATAGTCCAGGGCAGGCAGGCACAGATCTGTTGAGCTGTATCCACTGACATGAACACAGTCTCCAATCTCCTTATAGTCCACTTCTCCTACAAACAATCACACAGCAATTATAATTTGTTATATAGAAAAGACTTCTGTGGACCCTTTTCACATTTCTAGGGTTCTCAGAAGCAGAAGTCGCTATAGTTGGGTAAACATCTGCTTTGATGAATGAAGGCAACAATAAATATATTTTATATTGTTTAGCTCACCTAAACCTTTCACAAACTTCATAAGGCACATGATGTAGTCAGTGGCCGCGTTGGCAAACACCTGAATGTTGTCTGTGTTAATGAAGGCTTCAAAGACATCAAACACGGGTGCCTGTGACTTCCCTGCATATGTGAAGAAGAGGGAAAAAAATTAAACAGAAATGCATTTCAGAGTGATATGTGGTTGATTTTCCTCATTTGTTATGACAACAAACTTTCAGCCCCAAACCATACACTTACATTAATTAACACACCCTTCATTAATAACATTTATCCAAAAGAAGTTACATAGCGTAGCTTTTAAGGTCAAATGTGCATTGTGTCAAATTTATTAAAAAATAACAATTATTAAACATTTTTTCAAAAAAGCTTCAAACACTTTACATATCTTCCATTGGTTTGCCACTGGAAACCCTTATTGGCTAAGCTGAGTTTGAAGCTGGTGCAAAACACACACCCGTAACCGTCCTTTCTATATTATTAAGTTGCTTGGAAATTGTACGCCTACAATTACGCTAATGAACACTATTACATAGTGGAAGAATTATCTATTCAATTAATATCATAAATAAAAGTAACCATATATTTGTCAAAGATTTGTGTCTTTTTAAATAAATTATCTGTTGTTTTAGTTTAAATATGCTATAGAACTATGTTAAATATTTTATATTAAAGAAATATTTTATCACAATGCTGTTATTGATGCTTATTGCTATGAAAGCAATAAATCCCTATATTGCAAGTTTTCATTAATACGTGATCCATAAACATAATCAGAGAGAGAGAGAATAAAAAATCTTTGCACAAATAACTAACAATACAGTAAATTTCACATACCCATAGAATATTCTCCTATCAGGTAATCCTTCATATCTGTTTTGTTTCCATGTACAGTTCGGAGAGCACTGAACAGCGGCCTCCAGCCAGACTGGATCTGAGCTGAGCACATCTCCACCAGCTCTCCAATGGATGTTATCACCTGTACCACAATGGATAGATACACAAGACACTGCAATTAACTCACTATAAAGTAAAAATATGTGGCACTGAGACAGGTTTGTTTGAACAAGGCTCCGTTTAAACCATCTTTCAGCTTGGCCGCATGATAAGTGAGGACCTGATCTTGGACGTCTTCGTCACAGAGCTCCAGCTGCATGATGTGCTCAAAAGGCCTGAAGAGAGCTTCATTAAAATGATAGTGTGGCAGCTCAGCCCAGCTGCTCAGAACCTCCATCAGAACATCATGGATGAAGGACACAGCCTTCTGGGATACATGTCGCTCCTTATGACATGCTGCCTGTGGGAACAAGAACAAAAAATCTGTTACAGTCACAATACAGAACAAAAATTTCTGTCGCTATTTCGGTTTCATCGCCTTTAAGGATGTGTTAGCCACATGAGGGGTTTGTCTTATTATACCTCCACCAGGTGGGGTGCCACCACGCTCCAGGCTCTCATCATGTGCAGCAGCGCTCTGCTCTTGTTCTTCACAATGCGAAGCATGGCCTCTCCCAGCCGGAAGAGGTGGAGGGCGCTACGCTTGTCCTGGGTCGACTTTGCCTCCCCTTTAATGAAAATCCAAATGAGGTGAAGGAAACAAGAAAAAATGGGCTTTAAAACTCCTAAAAGTCTAAATGTTTCGAATGTGTTGGTGAAATAAGGTGCATAACCTTTAGAAAATGTTGTTCATTGATTTTAGGAGGTCAAACTAAATATTATGTGAATATTCTATGTGCTCAATAGTACTTCAATAATTTAATATTAGTTTTATATGAGACTAGCACTTTGTTCAACCCTGTTACCAAAATTTGGGATTTGTCTGAATAAGGTTCTTTAAAACCCAGATTTCTCTGACTTCATTATTTTCTAACAATAAAAAAACATAAAAGTAAATAACATTTATAAAATAAGTTATAAATATTATAACCTAAATTAGCGATATAAATATAACGAAGATTACGAGATTAAAGTCGTAATATTTCGAGAATAAAGTCGAAATTACGAGAATAAAGTCGAAATATTACGAGAATAAAGTCGAAATACTACGAGAATAAAGTCGAAATATTTCGAGAATAAAGTCGAAATATTACGAGAATAAAGTCGAAATACTACAAGAATAAAGTCGAAATATTTTGAGAATAAAGTCGAAATGTTTTGAGAATAAAGTCGAAATGTTTCGAGAATTTAAATCGTAGAAATTAAAGTTATAATATTTTGAGAGTATAGCCTTTAATGCGCATGCAAATGGCCCGGATTGAGAGCACTGGGAGAAGTTAAGTTAAACGGCATGCTTAAACTGAAGCTAATACAGCGATCTGTCACGCCACATTAAAGAGCATGAAAAAACACATTATTGTAATATATTTTTTGTATTTTGCTATAAAACTGACAGATTTTGAAAGCTGAGACTTTGGAATATCTCCCGGTGCTCCCAATCTGGGCCATTTGCATGTGCAAAAGGCTAGAATATACTCTCAAAATATTATAACTTTAATCTTTATTCTCGAAACATTTCGACTTTATTCTCGTAGTATTTCGACTTTATTCTCGAAACATTTCGACTTTATTCCCGAAACATTTCGACTTTATTCCCGAAACATTTCGACTTTATTCTCGTAATTTCAACTTTATTCTCGAAATATTACAACTTTAATCTCGTAATCTTATATTTTTTTAACGTGGCACTAAAACGCCGTCGTAAAATTAAGTCGTCACTCACAAAGGGAAAAAAAAAGGTATTCTGTCGGTGGAAAGTGTCAATAATTTTTGGGTACCTGGCATGGCTAAGGAATAGTCTCCAGTTTCTGTGACTGAATCAAAGAGTTGAGACTGTGAAGCTTTTCTGAGCTGATGCAGGAAACCCACAAGAGCCACTAGGTTGAGTTTATTCACTGCATCCTCGAACAGCCTGCAGGACATACACATCAGCTGCATGTTAAAACATAATAAACAGACATGTGAGAACAACAGTGATGGACAATCGGGTACATACACAATGTGGCATATACTCTAACACACAATGAATAGCCATGCTAAAACTAACTATAAATACATGCTGCTATTAGGGGTGTGCGATATATATCGACTGCGATAATATCGTAATTGTTGTTTTAACGATGTGCGATTTGACATTATCGAGTATTTTGCAAAAACCTTTCAAAACATTCCTACAGAGCGCACACATATATTACGTGAAGTCTAGACTAGTGCGCGTGCGCATTTAGAGTGCGTTCTTTCACTGCATGATTCAGTCTATTAAAATGCATTTAGAATGATCACAAATTCAAGAGAAAATGGGGAGAGAAGATGTATACATTTATATCATTTCATATAGTTAATCAATATCACGCAGAAAGTGCCGTTTTTTTCTCCAGAAATTACTATGATCACAAATAGCCTATTGATTTTTTACAACAGTTCAAA